CGTATTTATACTTAGTGAGTTCTTATTTATTCTTTAAGCTTACCAATGTGCATATCATAAATAACAGGAATGGAGACAGCATTTTCTCATTTAAGGTTTACAGATCTAAATTAAAAAAATTTTTTTTAATTAAAAAAAATGTTTAGACCTCTAGATAGGCTGACTAGATTCACTGGATGGGCAAGTACCGGGGAACGGCTGGGGTGCCAACAACACAGCAGACAGTAGCAGGGAAGACAGAGTAAAAGAGCTCTAGTGGGGGGGGGCTATGGGAGGGGCCATCTGGGAAATGGGTACATAGATGAATAAGATTGTTTGGGATGCTCTGTGTGATATACGCACACAAAAAATCAACAAATTAAAAAAGTGAGTTATATTTGAGGAGGAAGCATAAAAATTTATGTCATGTTAATTAGTAGAGGTGATAAACATTACCATTGAAATCTACCCAATGACTTTATATCCATACACAGATCTAAATTTTAAAAAAATCTATTATCCTTAATATCTTCTATGTACAAACTTGGCTATGATTGGCTTACTTTTATTATGTTACGATTATGCTGTTATGAAGGAGAACATGATTCCAGCATGGTTCTGGCTCATAATAATGATGGTGATTGGAATTCACCAACAATATCAAGAACATATTTGATCACTGATGGCTGCTTGTATATAGAACTGAATCAGAACTAGAAGAGATGACAATTTACCAGATATGAAAAGGAATATATGAATTATACTTGACTCGGTGATAATTCTGCACATAACCATCATTAGATTTATCAGAGAATCATCCAACAAATCAGCACATGCAGATTAGAAGAGACATATTCCCTGGTGTTACATATTTTGGATAAAAATTAGTGTTAAATTGCCCTTGAAATGGTCTAGTCCTTAAGTTTTGTACAGCCTGAGAGAAAAAGAACACAGTTTCAATATTTTTAGGCAAATATAGCTTAGTCTAGCATTATTTCTACCATCAATGAGATTTTGCCAAAAATAGAAAGTTACATATATTGGAATAAAAAAATGCCTTAAAACATTTTTTAGTTTTTAATTACAAAGACCAAATGCAAATAAAATATCTTGATGAAAATAACAGTTATGTTTTAGAAAGCCTACTTCAAGAATATTAAAAATGGTATAAGCTAGGCACAGTGGCTCCAGCCTAGCATTCCATGACTCTCAATTGTCTACTCACCAGGACATCAGCTTTCCCACTCAGCCCCTTCCCATAGTCATCAGTTGCAATCACTTGGAATTTGAAGTAGGATCTCCTCATGTTGTGGAAGAGCATTGCAGTCTTGATGAGCCCTGTGTATGTTTCCACCACAAAGCCTTCTTTGCCTTCTTTAATCGGTGGTATGATGAGTCTGTAGGCCATGGTACTGTAATTTCCTGTATCCCTGTCAGTAGCCTGCGGGAGGGGGGTAAAGATTATAAGTCAGCAAGAAGAAGAAATAACCCAGTACTGAAGGGTTTATTTCTGTCTGTAATGACATCATGTGTAATCCACAGTAAAGTTCTCTTAAGACTCCAATTTATTTGAGTATCTTTATGTATATTCAGATGATATAGACACATATCCACTAGTTCTCATCAGAATGATAATGACTACAGAGCTCTGACTGCAATGGACAGAGGATGAAACACTGAAGTTTGATGTGAATGTGAGGATGAATTTAACTCTAGGCTAGGATCTAAACTGCACAGTGGCCGGGCTGTTGGTTACTTGATGATCATCATATGACTGCATGACTGTTTTTGATGAAGAGTGTAGTGCACAGAAGTCAAACCATAGTTTTTCACATATAAATTTTAAGGATGCATAAATAACTCCTAACCAGTTAATGTTGTAGCAAGAAAAGAGCAGGACTGACTGCTAATCCAATTTCTTTTGTAGTGTTCCTGAATGTACAAGATTTCTACTAGTCCACAGTCATGATCTACAGGTTGAAGTTTCTTAGCATTTAGAATTCAAAAGGAATAACCTGTTGAAATCTTTTTTATTTCTTCAGAAATATACTATAAATAAATTTTTATTACTTTTCTGTGTTGTGATTACATATTATGACCAAAAGCAGCTTAAGGAGGAAAGTTTATTTTGGTTTATAGCTACAGAGGGCTACATGCCCATCATTACTGGGAGGCATGACAGCAAGTGGAGGGCATGGGGGCAGAAAAAGGAAGAAGAGCGGTCACATCTCAAGTGCACACAGGAAGCAGAGACAGTGAGCTGGAAGTGAGACAAGGCTAGACCCTCAAAGCCCATTTCTAGTCATGCGCTTTGTGCTATGACTGTCATAATAAAATTCCATGACCTTTCCTACCAGGGTCACCAACTAGGGACCACATGTTCAAATACCATAGACTGTAAGGGAAATTTCTCATTCAAATCATCACAGTTATATATTAGACTGGTTCTATGGCTTCTATTTATGGAAAAAATTCAGAATGTCAGTTTCAGAATTATTCCAAAGTGAAACACTTAGTAAAGAAATGATGAATAAGATAATTAGAGACTGTACATGGCTATATATAACCTGTTTAGAATACTGTATTTGTAAGTTTTATATGTACATTTTTAATCATTGTTTTTCATTCCATGGTAATTGTTACTATCAGTGCTATTGATTTAAAACATCATGTATTATGCATTTTCTTCATAATACAATGCTAAAAACTGTATAAACGTAATCTAATAGTAAGAAAAAATATTGCTGAGAAAGTTATTCTTCTAATTATATGTTAGTACTGTCCAATAGAATTCTCCAAGCTGAATGAAGTCCTCTCAGTGTGTTTTGTTCCTTACAGCAGGGATAAGCCAGATATTTAACAAAGACTTGAAAAGAGGTTAATATAACCAAAGAACCAAAGTTCTAATTTAATGTAATTTAAATCAAATTTAAACAAACAAAGACCACAGGACAAGTGGTAATATTTGGTTACAAATAGTAGCAAGAATAATAACAGCTAATAGCATGAAGTTGACCTGGATTCAAATTCATTACATATTTGAAATATTTTAAACATTTAAGGATAACCAGTCTACATAACTGACAAAGTAATTTGAATTACATAACCAGGATACTTCATATCAAGATAAGCCTTCATGAATTTTCTAAGTTGCTCTCATGGTGAATTTCAACTTGACTGGATATAGACTAGTGTAGGAGACATGTCTCTGGGAGTGTCTGGGAGTGCTTTAGAGAGGCTTGACAGAGATGGGAAGATGGGCAGAGTCATCTATAGCTGGTAAAGCAGTGGCCTTGCAAGCATGAGAACCTGAGTTTGATCACCAGAGTTCACATTTACAAAGCTGGACTTCGTGGCTTGCTCTTGTTATCTCAACACTGGAAAAGGGAAGACCAGAGGATCCTGGAGACTCACCGGCCAGCCAGTCCAGGCTACTGGTACTGGGTAAGCTCCAGGCCAGTGAGAGACCCTGTCTTAAAAGCCAAGGTGAATGACACCTGAGGAATAATGCCTGACATTTCCTCTGGCTTCCCCATGCATGAAATACACACACACACACACACACACACACACACACACACACACACATGAATGAACATATGCACACATAATGTCACACACAGAAAGATTTAGTGATATATATTCAACTTTTAACTTCTGATTAACTGAATTTCTCTTTAAAGAAACAATTTATTGTTAATTCAAACTTTGGGATACAACAGGAATGTCAAAATTATACACAAATTATGAGTGTACAGAACAACAAAATTTTGCAAGATAAACACATCGATGAGACCAACCTGTGTATCAAAAATCAAGGCACCACAGTCATCCCAGTCTATATTCGTGTGTCAGTTACACCTCCCTTCAAGGAAACTACTGACCTGGCCACATCATGACTTCAAAAGTTTGTTCACTTTCAAAACATATTGACAGAATGTGGAATTGCAGCACAAATTCTCCTTTGTGTGCTAACTCTTTCATTGAATTTTGTGCTGTGAGATTCAGACTTTTTTATTTTGAAATATGTAAAACACAATGATATCTAGATGAGAAAATATGGTCACTGTACAATCATAGTGGTTCTTTGGTACATTAAGCTAACTTACACAGTTCCTACTGACTAACTTCCCATTTCAAAAAACTGTTTTGCTTTATAATATTCCTAACTTATTACATTATGAAAACTACAATGTAGTCATATTTCATAATAAATTATTGAAATGTTTTTTGTAGCAAGATCTTCCTGAATCAGTCAATATATAAATTTGCATGTGGAATTAATCATTTGAACAGACATATCACTTAGTTTTATAATTTTCCATAGTATATTTGATAAAATAGTAAAAGTGAGATACAATTTTTAGAAATCATCTTTGCTAGACATTTGAACCCATAAAGCTCTATAGCAATAGATACCATACATGTGTGCTATAATATCCCCATTTGATTTCTTTTCCTCACAGGGCACACTACTCAGGGAAACTCAAGGATCTCATTTCTGGAGCTAGTCATTATGAGGACAGCTGTGGGAAGCATCTGTGACTTTGGAAATATTCCCGCTCTTCCAGTATGCGCAGCCAAATGCTGGTTGGGTAGAGAGTGGAGGATGACAGGGCCAGTATATACTGAATTTAAGAGCAATTGTAAAGACTTTCATGCCAAACATAGGACCACACTTCATTATAGGATATAACGACGGATGCCAGCACACGCCTGACAATCAGACCCAGACAATAACCAAATACTCTTCACCAAATAAATGATAAAATTTCTGACATCATTAAATATATGTTGAGTCACACAAAAAAACATACACAACTAAATTCAAGGCACAATTTTACATATAGGATGAGATGTGAAAAGGAGCATTTCAACACTGAATGTGTTATAAGATTTGCTTATTAAAGTTAATAGTTTTAAATTTATTTCTTCTCTTTTACATTATATTTTGAATTGAGCTGGACTGCAAAGTCACTTTTGGCTTGTGTTTCTGATCCATAAATGAATTATATCAAAGAACTATTATTACAAGATATACTTATGTATACGTATATCTGTTAAATTATGTGATTACCATATGCTATAAATTATATTTGTGTAAATTATATTTATATGGTAAAGCATAGTATAGCATTAGAATTACTTAATATAACTATTAGAGTTACTTATTTTTTAATATATTTTTATTGAATTTTTTGGCTATCATTTGGTCATATATGTTAAGGCCTATCAAGACAAATGTTTGTAGTCAGCTGTCCCTCAGTGTGAGTTCATCCACTGGAGCCTGTTCAACCTGTTTAGCAGCACTCCCTTAAGGAAGATCAACTCTCCTTCACCCAGTAGTGATCATCTGTTAATCGCTCCTCACCAGAGTTGTCTCCTGCCCTTTTCCCAGCTCTATGCTGTTTTTTGGGTGATTGAGTTTGCATGGATCTTGTACATACTGTTACTACCACTGTAAGTTCATGAACAAGGTCCCAGAAGCCTTTAAGATTCTATTTCCTTACGGTCATACACCTCTTCTCCTAGTTCTTACAATCTTTCTGCCCCCTCTTCATCAAAGGTCCCTGAGCCCTGGGTGGGTGAAGTTTAACATAGGAGTCCTGTCCCAGGACCCACACTCGCAGTCTCTTATTCTCTACAGTTTGTCCAGTTGTGGCCTTTTATGTTTGTTGCCCTCTGCTGCATGAGGCAGATTCTCTATGAGTTTAGAGATGTGTTAGTATTCTCTTTACCCCTTGTTCCAAATTCTTATTGAAATAGTTAAAAAGTTTCACTTTTCCCCATAACAAAATGTTTATCAATTAATACAGAAATTTAAGCACCCAGTTAATTTAGACTCAGACATGTAAGACTGTAAATCCCTTAGGAAAGTAATGGATTAATAATGTCTTTCTTTTTGAGCTCCAGATGCATGCACTGGAGTCTCATAAAAACCTTTCAGTTTTTTATCTTCTTTAATTTTCCTTCATTGCATCCAGATTCCATTTGAACCAACCTTGCACAATGTAATTCATGCACCATGACCAGCAAACACTCTCATTCATTATTGAATAAAAGGACTTTGGTTTCTAGATATGAGCTTTCTTCTTCAACTTCCTTCTTCTTTTAAAATGTCATTCTCATGTACATGACAAGCAGCAATTTACCTTCAGTTCTCAGGTGAGGGATGGTCCTTGGTCACTGAACTTCCTCAAAGTTACTGTAGTGTTAAACCTCATGGGAACATTTACCCAGGCGAAATCCTGTCTCAGGAAGATTAAAATGCAATGCACAAATTTCTGACCACAGTGTCCCATCATATCTGAAGCATCTTGTCTAATAGTAGGAAATTTTACTTCTACATCTTGGCATCTTTGGTTCAGAATTCCTATCCAGTTCTGCCCTTTTTTGGAAGCCACAGGTGCTCACCCTGGAATTCTTTTGTGTTTGTCTGGA